CGCTCTGATATTCAATGTTGCCGAATTTTTTATTTCACTGATTTTCCTAAAACTTATATTACTGTCAGATGCAAAAATCAGTTTGGACAAATTTGTACATTTTTACTTACACTTACTTTAATTTTTTTACATAGTAAGTTTATCTACAATCTATGATATTTCCATATAAATAATTATATTTTAGCTCATTTGTGACACAGTGCAGTGGCAGGCTGAATTCGGCCCGCGGCCCGTAGTTTGGTGACCCCTGGCTCAGGCAAAACTAATAAGGCCGTCTGCTGCTGTCCAAAATTTTAGGAACAGAAGGAACTTAACTGTGAACTCTTAAGCTACTCTTTACCAAAGAATAATGTGATTGATCGTTACATCATAATGCCCCAACTGATATAGTGATTGGTAAGTATGAGGCAAATTAGCGTGCGTATCCACCTGAACTGAAACTACTAACAAAAAACCACACTTTTTAGAAAATAAAATAATCTTCCACCAGTAAGGTCAAAATAGGCTGATAAGATAAAACAATATAGGTTTGAAGTCCCACAGATGTTAAGAAAAGAGTTGAAAGCAAACACTACATAAGCAGAATTAGCTCAACTATAACTAATGCAAATATAATAAACATTTATTTGCGAATTAATCTATTCCAGTTTACCTGACTAAAGTTAATGGGATCTCTCCAGTAAGATACTTTGTTTTGTTTTGAATTTCGTGCAAAGCTACAAAAGAGCTAGCCGTGCTAGCCGTCTCTAATTTAGCAGTGATAGACTAGAAGGAAAGCAGCTAGTCAACAACACTCACCACTAACTCCCGTGCTACTCTTTTACCAGCGAATAGTCGGATTGACTATCAAATTATAATGCCCCCACGGCTGAAAGGGTGAGCATGTTTGGTGTGACGGGGATTTGAACCCGTAACCCTCAGAATGCAAGATAACGCCCTTACCACCAGGCCAGAAAAATAAGTTTAATATATTTCTAGAGTTTTAATTCCTGTACATATCCGTTGATAGCTTTTGTGGTAAATGTTGCAAAATCCAATACGAAGCTTGCCAATTCAGAAGCCAATGCTAATTAGTGCTAAGCTGGGTGTGGTCTTAGAGTCAGTCTGCTGAATTGAGTATTAGAAGGTACAAGGTTTTGGATTTGGACCACAATCTGTCACCGAACACCCTTCGCACTTCCAGCTGTGTGGGCATTATAACTGTGACAGCCAAAACCACACTTGGCTAAAGTAGTAATGTAGGCGGTAGGTGATTATGACTATTTGTCAAGTTGTCCATCCTCTGATCAGCAGTCATATATTAGAAATAGCTCTGTCTATACCTTAGGGTTGACTGATCCAACCGTTTAGCTTACATACTGCATAAGATGCCGTTCAGTACAGCATTCAGCTACAAAGTCTTTATTCACAATGAGAAAAAGTGTATTTGTTAAAACATAGTTGGTTAGCTAGTTATTTAAGCTAAAAAAATGTTTTCTAAACAATTCCACACTATACAATGACCAAAATCATATTTTTAAGCCAGTCCAAGGAGATCCTTGTGCTGTATGAAATAATCCAATTAGAAAAGCTACTAACTCGTACCAACTTGCACAAATAGCTGAATCACCCCCTTGAAATTGATTCACCACCCCATCCTCAGGAGCGGTGGACAAAGATACAGGGCTAAACTAGTACAAGCTTCTGTCAGATAGTTGTTGCTGTGTGTAACCTTTACCGAAGCAAAAGGATCAAAACATGTTTACGACTTTTTTACATCCAGCTTACAATTATGTCAAGGCTACAAAAAAAATCAAAAACACTTGCTGGGAAATGTAAAAATATCTAAATATATCTTACTATAGATATATATCCTGTGCTAGTGATGGAAATATGAAATTAAAAATTATTTCAGCCATGACACCAAATTGGAAATATCAAATATTAAAACTCGTCACAATTCCACACTATACAATGACCAAAATCATATTTTTAAGCCAGTCCAAGGAGATCCTTGTGCTGTATGAAATAATCCAATTAGAAAAGCTACTAACTCGTACCAACTTGCACAAATAGCTGAATCACCCCCTTGAAATTGATTCACCACCCCATCCTCAGGAGCGGTGGACAAAGATACAGGGCTAAACTAGTACAAGCTTCTGTCAGATAGTTGTTGCTGTGTGTAACCTTTACCGAAGCAAAAGGATCAAAACATGTTTACGACTTTTTTACATCCAGCTTACAATTATGTCAAGGCTACAAAAAAAATCAAAAACACTTGCTGGGAAATGTAAAAATATCTAAATATATCTTACTATAGATATATATCCTGTGCTAGTGATGGAAATATGAAATTAAAAATTATTTCAGCCATGACACCAAATTGGAAATATCAAATATTAAAACTCGTCTATGATATTTATTATTTTAATTTTGTGTGTGTGTAAAATGTTATTTTAATTAATGAGATGATCAAAATATTGATTCTTATAATGTTTCAGTTTCATGACATTTAATTTGATTTTTAATTAATAAAATACATTTCGGTTTTAAATTGTGTATTTTCTATTTATTCTAATTTCATAAAATGTATTTGTAAAGTTTGATTTTATCTTTAATATTACGAATTTCAGTATTTCAAAGACTTGGTAAATAACCAAAAGAAATTGCGCAAAGACGCTGTGCAAGAAAAATTACTCAGTCACATACTGTTCAATTTTATTATTAAAACTATAAGTATATTCATGTAATATGAAATTTATATTTATCCATTAAACGTTTCTCAAAAAATAAATAAAAATAATTAAAGTTTAATCTTTCATTGATTTTTTATCTCGTATGTTGTGTCACCACATTTCAGCCATATTCGTTTTCCATCTACTGTTGTGATTAAGTGTAACACTCAGTGATTCACTGTAGAATCGTGGGCTGTTATTTACTACATCTGTCAGGAGGTAAGAATACGATATATATGACCAATTTTGATTTAAGTAAAAAAAAATTGAAATCGTTTCTGAAAAGTACTGATGATTTAAGAAATTGCAATATTACTAAAACTATTTATTTAATTTTAAACGAGTTTTCCTGGAGGCTGAACAAGTACTGCTATTACTAATACTAAGTAATACTACTATTGTTACTGTTGAGTTTTATCCTAATTCCTATACTGAGGCTATAGATATTGCCAGTGCCATTAACATTTAGGCGATTTACTGATTTCGATTAACTACTCATTACTACATTAGCCATGATTATCATTGAGTGTTGCGTAATTAATATTAACAATACTAGTATTGTTACTATTGGCACTTTACTGATACAGATTGGCTTAAGAAAGTTATTGCACTGTATAGTGCATGTTTTGTTTTTTTAAATCAGAAATTTAAGTGGAAATCTTGTGAGTTACAAATTACATACTATTTAATTTAAAATATAAATATTTTTTTATTATTAATATTATTTGGAGGGTGAAGTTTTTTTCTTACAACTACTTAAACTAGGCCATCAACCAAATACAACAATGATATAATTTAATTATTTTATTGATTATAAAAATAATAACATAAATAGTATAATTAATCAGCATGGGAAAACATAGTGTCAAAGAATAGCAAATGTTGTTATGATTTATAAAATACTCTGCTAGTGTTACTTTTACAATTAGACCAAAAAACTTGAATTTGAAAGATAATTTGTACAATATCTGCTGATCATATAATAATGTATGACAACTCATTTCATGTTGTCAGTGGAATGTGTATAATAATAATAATGATCTGGTTTTCACTGCTCTCTTTAATAGAGAATGCTTATTTTATTGTTTCTTTATATATTATTGGAATATCACTTTGGTTCTAAAATGTATTATTTGTTTACATTGTTACAAAATTACAAGTTTCCCACCATTTTCTTCAAATATCTGTGAAGCATGTATTATTCATTTCCATGCTGAGTCAGCAAAATAATCAAATGAATAACCTCAAATGTTTTGCTAGTTTAAAGTAAGTACATCATGTTTTATCTTTTTTTTTTTTTACTAACAACTCATGGAAAAGTTTTTTTATGCTAAAAGTTATAGTGATTCTACTTCACATGTGGATTTTTACAAACCCAATAGTAATCTATTCTATATTTGTTAAAAATCCAAACTCTTTATAAAGTATGTTGTCATTTTTGTGTAATTTTCTGTGTTAAGTAATATGCTAAAACTTGTTTAAAATGGGCTTTAAAGGTATTTGCTGATATATAAGAATTATTTTTAAGTAATATTGTTACGTCTCCGTTTGTTAATTAACTTTCCGTAACTTCGTTCCGACGAAATTTTAAC